CCTCCACTAGTAGTGGAGCTTGTGTGAGCACACACTGGACTGCTGTACAGAAGGCAGGCAGCAAGCGCACAGTTCCTCCCGCCCTCGTCGGACGACTACAGCACTTGGACGGGTAGATCAACTAAAGTTAGAGTGTACCGCGCGTAAGCTTTCTGTGGCGAAGAATACTAACAAGGCCGATCGAGTTACTATCCTTCAGGGGTACGATGAGTCCCAGAATGCCATGGAGCTGCTACTGGACCGTCAGCGGCAGACCAAACGTGGTAGGGGGCCTTCTGCAGAGACCACTCAACGCAGAAGCAAGCACTGTTTGTATCGCCTGCTCAACGTACTCTTCTCTGAAGATTTTTTCGAGAAATTTATCACATCTGGTGACGCACTTACACGGCGTGAGCTAGATGAGGGTGGTCGGGAGTTCTGGGAGCAGGTGGCCGAAGCTTTCAGTACATTCAACGATGACGAATGCTATAACATTCATTCTATAGTAACGATCGAATTGTCCTTCTTGCACTAGTCGATCTCGATGCGGCTCCCACTCCAAACGTTTGCGTGAAACAACGTTCGATCTACGTCGACGACGTAATTCGCTCACAGCAACTACAACGGCGAGACAGACCGCAACGCGAGATACTTTCATTGTCTTTCTCTTGAATGGTGCCCGTGACCCTGATCCCAAAGCGAGTTATGATCCCAATTTGGGATCATCGATTGTAACTAAAAATAAACATATGTATTTTTTAGCCAATCAGGTATCGAGTTTGTAGATCATGATCCGATGATGATCCCGTTAGGAACCGGCCTTAGAGCTTGGGTCTCAGTGTTATAGTTCAGGGCAAAGCATGCTGCAAAAAATGCGAGAGGAATTGCACAGAACCTGAGGAGTTAATAGTACTAATAACTCCAAAATCGGTGAGGCTAATATTGTGAAAATATCACGTGTTGACCAGTTAATATAAAAAAAACACCTAATCATTTCTTCTGAGATGAAATGATTTTATTAAGACCGTTGTTGCAGGCACTGAATCGAGTGTACATAATCGGGGCGTCGTGTTACCCACTGAGCGGCACCATAGGCACCTGCGTGCCTTAAGGCACTTTATTTGGTGCAAGAACCGAATTCAGAAAAGGGGGGGGTAATATAAAAGAATACATTTAAAAAAAATCCTAAAATTTAGAGATTGCGATGAGTGGTGGTGGTAAATTGAAATACAAGGTGTTACGCGAAGGTTGCACAGTTTATAAAACACATTGTGAATGTTGATCGAATGTACAGATAGCTTAGTGATTTTTTGGACATTGGCTTCCAACCCATTTTATGGAACGCCTATAAGGGAGATTTTAGGCCGCTTGTATAAGAGCTTCGAGCGTCACTTGTACTATGGAGTTTCCAATTTGAAGAAATGCCACCGATGAGTTACAGTGCTCCTACTTATCTCAAAGAGCAAACGGCTACCCTGATGAGCTGTCATTAACTCGTCTTACCAGTTTATTCCTGTAAATGATACTGGACACGTGAGATATCAACGAATTGTGTTTTGTACTGAAAGGTAAACATAGTGCTATCATCTGCAAGAGCGCTACTATATACACTTCAGTAGATAGCGCAGCCGCATAAAGCGCAACATTGCGGGGCCTGGCTTGTTGGGCATAGAAATACCACGAATGTAGCACTCAAAGAAGAGGAGTACCATGACGCCGCAATTGGCTCCATCTGGCTGGCGTGGCTTGGTTTCCTTCTTGAGCCTCATGTTGGCACGCAATTCTCCGAATAGATCCTTTAGTAAATCATCGCACATGCCGTAATAATTGGTCTTCGTAGCTTGCAATGGGTCGAATATCGTGACTGATCTGGTTTCAGGGCGAAAATCAAACACAATCCCACACCAGTGATTGTTATCCACGTATAACCCCATCAATACCAGCTGATTGGCGGAATCAAAAGGAGTACCCATGCGTATAACGCGTAGTTTATCTTCTCGGTCGTGAAACCGATGAAATATCGGATCGATAATTCCCACT